ATACACATCAAAACACCTTTTTTTTTTTTTTTGCAGCAAACACCTTTTTCCTACAGCCCTCAAGTGTCAATGTACAATGCTGATACATACAACCAAAGAATTTCATTTCTGTTATTAGCCTCTCTCACTAGGACCACTGTGCACGTGGCACTATGCAGTGAGACCATCATTATACAAGATATGTCAATGTAATGCCAGAAATACCCTCTCAGTAGTGTTGTATTTGCTGCCACCTGTGTGTGTAAATTTACACCATATAATAAACACTGTGATGAAGTATAGCACCTTAGGAAGATTAATTTCATTGACACACATACGTGTAATGACTGAAATACCCCTGTCCCTGTGATACCAATATAAAGAGAATAACTATGAATACTTTTGACTTGCATTTTGACATTAAAGGGCATGAACACTTTTGACTTGCATTGGACATTAAAGAGTAAACCTCAACCAACAGAAGTAGTGGTGATAAGAGATGTATTAGTCGATGAAGTCACTTTTAGAGATTGTGCAGCATGCTCTGATGGAAAATTTTGTGTACCTGGCATTGTAATAGAATCGTTAGAAGAATAAATGATATTGTCAACAATAGGAGCTTCCATATAAATTGGTGCGTCAATCTCCTTTGTGCGAATGACTATAGCCAATGAATAAACAAGGATAAGTTCATAGGTAATTTGGCATGAAATAATAATGTAAGACCTGTTTCAACAATATGCCTGTGTTTCCTTTCAGCTACACCATTTTGTTCTGGTGTGTCCGGGTAAGATATGTGTCGTACAATGCCACATAGGCTAAAATGATTTAGAAAGTCATTATGTCCAAGCTCTCCCCTTCCATCACCTTGAAAATTCTTACTTTTCTTCTCACATTGGTTTTCTACTTCTTTTTGGAACCGTAAGAAAGTGGAGAAAAAATCTGATTTCTTCTTCAAAGGATAAATTCAAGAGTACCATGTGCAATCATCTACAAAAACAATATAATACTTAAAATTTTGAACTGAGCCAACCGGGGCAGGTCCCATAAATCATAATGAACTTTCTCTAATAAAGTAGAGGCAATTTTATTATTTAAAGAGAAAGGGAGCCGACAACTTTTTCCCATATGACAACTACTACAAATCTTTTGGGATTCAAGTAATGAAGAAGCTTAGAATTCGGGTGTCCAAGCCGTTAGAGCGAGATATCCACTAGTGCTCATCCAATTCTTATTGCTGCCTTGAACAGATCTTCCTCTATCTAAGGCATATAGATTTCCATGTTTACTGCCGGTTGCTTAGAGAACATTGATGTAACAAAAATATCATATTTAGATCCAAGACATTCTGAAAGTTGCAGTCCTTTATCATCATCAGCTACTGGTTTGTTAATGCCTGCCAGATCATCACAAATATTTTTGAAGTTCTTTAGGAGATCACTGATGGTGGAATTCCCGTTTTGAAGTGCTTGAAGTTGGCGCTTCAATTGCATTTCTCGATCTTTGGTAGCTTATTGCAAATAAACATTTTTCAAGCGTGTCCAAACTTCTTTAGAGGTCTTGTCTCCCACAATGTGTCCAAGTGCCTCTTCAGAAAGTGTTTCGGTTATCCAACTACAGAGCATTAGATCTACGTGTTGCAACTTTACAAATTCAGGATTCGTTTCTTTAACGCCTTCTGCAGATATCTTTTCATTTGAAGGAGCATCCTTGTTGAGATATTGCATGAGATTCATACCCTGGATCAACGAAAGGATCTGCAGCCTCCATAAAAGGTATTTTTATTTAGCTTGACTAAAATAATATTTATAAGGTGATGAAGGGTTTGAGCAGAAAGGGAAAGAGAGGTGGACGATTCAGCCATGGTAGTGTCTTTCTAAAGCTCTGATACCATGAAAGAGAATAAAAAATTGACAAAGGAAGAAGATGGACAGAACCAGATGGATTCGACTGAAAACCTTAAGAAGCCATCTCAATAAGATATTATATTTATAGATGTTTGCATCTTTACAAAACAAAAAGTTTCCAAATTTAAGAAATTCTCTAGAATATATTTATCTTAAGATTGCTTTGACAGCCGCTGGTCAACATTTCCAAACATAAGAAATCCTATGATTTCTCTGGAATATCTTTCTCCAAAGATTGCTCTTGACAGCTTGATTTTGGCACTTGTGGTTCATGAGCTGTATGTTTAATAGGAATATGGCATACATTCGTTAGGTTTCGTTGTCTTGATTTTGATTATTCCTATTAACAACCATCTACTCCAAAAGCTTAAGCTGTTAGAGAGGGTATAACTTTAATATTTAAATCCTTCAACACGCCCCCTCATGTGTGGCCTTCTTTTAGTCCAACACGTGTTTTTAATTTTAATTTTCAACGTGACAGAGAGGTTTGAACTTAAGGCCTTTGGCTCTGGTACCATATTAACAACCATTTACAATTCAACCTTTGGTTTGAACTTGTGATGTAGAAGATGAGGGTGTTGCTTTAATATTTAAATCCTTCAATAGTTCCAATTCCCACAACATCACAAGAAGTATTATTCTCGATATACACTTTACCACCTACAAGTTTGTGGGTAGCAAACCACTTTTTATGAGGAAACACGTGAAAGGAACATGTAGAATCAAGTATCCACTACTTAGCTTCTCCAATGTTATCAATGATTGATAATGCTTCATTATCATCACCCCCTTCTTTCATAGCCCAGACACAACAACAACAATGGATGCAATATCCTTTCTTTCTGAACAATACTACTGAATATGCCCCTTTTTCCCACACTTGTAGCATCTTTTCTTTGACAATGGCACAGAGTTTCTCTTGAAGCTCCAAACCTCATCTTCTCTTGAGTAATAAGAACTTAGAGCCTCATCATCATGACTCTTTTCATCATTCAACTTTTTACTAGAGAATATAGTACTTTAAATTGTTCCATGGAGATGGTATGTCTCTCATAAAACAAAGTATTGAACAAATGCTTATGGGTAGAGCGTATCATTATTTAGATAACAATATAAGAAAAAAAAATTCACCAAAGAACAAGAGATAATGCATTCGGAACCCCTACCTTAATTTTGTAGAAAAACCCCCAAATGGGTCCAAATTTTCGAAAATCCTAGGGTGCACCAAATGATGAATTGCTTGTACTCACACGTACATCTCGCCGCGCTCTCTGATTTGCCGTAAACGGCACTAAAAAATCCTAACAATTGAAGGAGAAAACAAAGGTTGAAGTTTGCTTGAAAAGAAAAAAAAAATGAAGTGAAAATGAGGGAGAGAGATATTACAGGGAGTGAGAAAATAATAAGGCCAAATGGCCTCTTGGCCGCCAATTTTTTTAAGTGCAAAGTGGGTCCCACCACTAAAATCTTAAAAATCCCATTTTCACTTTTTGATGTACCATAAATATATATATATGCACACAACTATTTAAATACTACATAAAACACATAAACTAAAATATATGAGATGCAAATGGACCCAACTAAAATCTCCATATACAACAATTCTGGTAGCGGGTTTCACACGGGATTGTCCGGTCCGTAAAACGGCAAAATGCAAAAATGACAAACCTTACATTTCAAAGAGTCCTAAACTCAATAAAATACCCCAACCAACTCTCGGACACAACCGGCACACTCCACGGTATTCGGTACGCAAAACGAGAAAAGACGAAAATGTCCTTGCAAAAACGAAAAATTCCAGAAATTAGAAAATGACGAAAAATAAAAACATTACAACTTTAATAAACACATCCTTCCCTCCACTAGATAATGTAGTCACTTTCCAAGGGTCCACATCATGGAACCTAATCTTGTGAAGGAAATCAAGGCAAACTATCACAGCTTTCAGAAGAATCATCATGTAAACAATAAACTAAGCAAGTTCCTAATTATTGGAACTGGAAGCTTGGAGGGTTATGAATGGGCCAAACACAAAAAGCTTATTGCTCCTTCATTCCATCAAGAGAAGTTGAAGTTCCATCATTTCCATTCTTCTTATAATCTTTATTAATAAGATGATTAGCTCACATTCATACCCGTCATTATTCACTTAATGTACAGTCATAAAAACTCTCAATTTGTTTTGATACACGAGAATTAGGTCCCTTTCAAAACAAAAAAAAAAAAAAAAAAAAAAAAAAAAAAAAAAAAAAAAAAAAAATGACTGGACATTGGGCGGAAATATTATGACTAAAATGCCCTTAGGGTACTATATACTTTCTTGACTGAGTTTTTTATTATTACTATTTTTTGTGTAGAATATGCTGCCTGCATTTTACGCATGTTACGATGAGCATCTAACCAAATGGGAAGAGAGCTGCAAAAATGGATCAATTGAGATTGATTTATATTCGACTTTTGATAGATTAACCAGCCAAGTGATTTCACTGGTAGTTTTTGGTCATATTTCCGGATATTTGAACTTTTGAGAGACCTAATTGAGCTTACAGTAGAGGTTATGCGCACACTTTACATTCCCATTTGGAGGTAATTAAATTAAGTACTGGTGCAACCACGGATCGAGTCAGATCATTCTTTTATTTTTTTTTCAATCATCATATTGAATCGTTTTGAACAATTGTAAAATAAATTATCTAATTAATAGGGAAAAAATCAATCGATTTTGACATAAGATCCAAACTTTACCTACCAAATATTGGTAGCATACTCGACCAAACGGGTACTCGGCTTCTTGTATTGAAAGTGATTTGTGTATCTACCCCAATGAGTAGATAGGGAGTCCGAGTGGCGGCATGCCAATAAGAAATTAAAGTAAGTAGAGATCATCTTGAAATGACCGACATTTTCATTGTGTAGGCCCTATCCCGGGGTTATTGTGTAGTCTTTTCTTTTTCTTTATATGCAGATTTATTATTATTATTTATTTATTCATTGGGCGTGTCAATGTTTGGAAACTACTATTTGTATTTATTTGTTTTTTTGGTGTGTTGATGTTTGGAAACTACTATTTGTTTGTGTAGTGATGTTTTGCCTACCAAAAGGAATCAGAAGATGAGTGCTATTGACAAAGAAATAAGAGACAGGTTTAGGACAATAATCAATAGCAGATTGATGGCAATTAAGGAAGGAAAACCTTGTGGTGATGACTTACTGGGCACTTTATTAAAATCCAATTTCAAAGAGATAGAAAGACAAGGAAACAACAAGAATGCTGGATTGTGTCTTGACGAGATCATCTCAGAGTGCAGACTCTTCTACTTTGCCGGGCAAGATACCACCCGCAGTCTGCTCGCATGGACATGTGTTCTACTATGTAGGCACCAAGACTGGCAAGAGCAAGCCAGAGAAGAAGCTTTGCAGCTCTTCAGAAAGGAAAAACTAGACTTTAATAGGGTTCAAAACCTAAAAATTGTGAGTGTTTTTTAACGTCAAATTCCAAGACGTAGTGATTTTTCTTACTTTTTAAAGATGAAGGTTTCAAGATTCCATATGATAGAGTGTGATACAGAGTCCGAAAGTCAGACACATCCAACGTAAATTATGTGATTACGGGATTATGTCATATCATATTTAATGACTTTATAATCATGTTATCCTTCACTCACATAAAATAGTCTGATACATTCGACTCTCAGACTACTTAATTATCAATATTCTAAGACAAAATTGGTTCTACGTATATATTAAAGAAAATGATTCGTTAGACCTATTTGTCTAGCAGAATGGTTTCTATTCATTTGATGTAGTAAGTGGGAACAACTCTTGAGCTAATTCCCAACATCAAATGATAGACAAATTGATTTGACAAATTGGTCTAAATAACATTACTCATGTATTAATTAACAGGTAACTATGATTCTGAACGAGGTTCTGAGGTTGTACCGTCCAGTAATTGAGGTGACTAAAGTAACATATGAAGAGACAAAATTAGGAGACTTAACCATACCAGCCGGAGTCCAGCTGATGATGCCATCGATGCTGCTTCACCGCGACCAGGAGATGTGGGGGCAAGGATGTGGAAGAGTTCAATCCAGGGAGGTTTGTAGAAGGAATTTCCAAGGCAACAAAGAGCCCATTCTTTTACCTCCCATTTGGCCTGGGACCAAGGATTTGTATTAGACAAAACTTTGCTCTGTTACAGGCGAAAATGGCCCTCGCAATGATTCTGCAACGCTTTCACTATGTTAACTCTTCAGCCCCAATACGGCGCTCAAGTCATCTTCCACAAGCTCAACTGTTTATGTCAACGCAAATTAATGGCGTATTAATGTGTATCATGTTTATAGCTTGAAACTGATTGTGGACTTGTTTGTCCAAGTACCTAGTTTCAAGTGTGTCATGTTTTATTGTGACATTGAATTATTGTAGCCCCATGTTTGATGTCGATGGAATGGATTAATAAAACTAAGTATATATCAGTGGACTATTATGTGATATGGTGTATTAATCGCCAATTCGGCATAACCATTAAAGCTCTGATCATCAATTAAACTCTGTTTCTTTATCTCAATGATTCATTCCTCAAGCCTAAGCATAACAAATCATGACTTTAAACATTTTATCACAATCCTGGAATTAGCTTATCCGGGGTTCCAGCATGTTCCAATTTTAAGAAAATCTTAGACACTGCAAAGATCGTCCCAAGTGACGGAGCAAATCCGACTATCGAAACTCTCAAGCTCACATCAAACACCTTCAATCCCAGCTCTCTCGTTTCAAAAGCCAACCCTCCGTCAACAGAGATGAATTCTATCGCCTTGAGAAAGAACAAAGCATTTAAAAACACTCATTTTTTTCCATTGCAAAACAATTACCAGATACAAATTTAAAAACTAAAAAAATTAAGAAAAACAGGATTCTTGGCCCTGAAGAGCCTATGAGAAATTGGAAATATTCCAAAGATGATATTAGGAGCATTGTAGCCTGTAGGGTCATAATTTAACAACTTATTCAGTTTTCCAGCACCTCTCCGTATATCAAATTTTGGAATTATATTTGCCCCACAATTACTGATGAGATGAACCACTCCCTTCTCAAACAAGCTATAGAGGAGGAACTTCGCAAAATCCCAACTTTTTTTGTATGGTATTGGAAACGGAGCATATAACTATAGTATTTCTGATTTTTTCTTTCTTTTTTTTTTGGAACCTTTTTTTCTATTTACAGCACTATTTTATTTATTTTCTCGTTTTACATGCCCGGCACCGTGGGGTGTGCCGGATGGGCTTTGAGAGTTGGTTAGGGCATTTCTTCGAGTTCGGGACTCTTAGAAATGCAATATTAGTCATTTCTGCGTTTTTCAATTTTTCGGACCGGCAACCGGAGTTAATGTGCACGGATATTATTTTGCGGGATTATCGCAATTCATACATTATTATTTGGTGCATAATTTTTCATTTTCTAAAATTTTCTATTTTTGTTTTGCGTGCCGGACATCGTGGGGTGTGCCGGGTGTGTCCAAGAGTTGGTTGGGGCATTTCTTTGAGTTCTAGACTCTTGGAAATGCAATGTTGCCATTTCGGCATTTTCCTGTTTTTCGGGCCAGACGGTCTTGGGTGGGACCCGCTACTGGAATTGTTGCGTACAGGGATTTTGTGTGAGTCTATTTGCATCTTATTCATTTTATTTAATGTATTTTATGTGGTGACATGTTTGTTGTGTTGTAAATTAGTTAAGGTGTATATATATGACTTTTATGGTGGAAAAATTAAAGCAAAACGATATTTTATTTTTGGGGACCCACCATTAACACATTTTAGTGGCCAAGGGGCCCTTTTGGCCTCACATCTCTCTCTCCCGTAAGCTCCTTCTCCCTCCTCCTCTTTCTCATTTTTCTTTTTCTTTTCTTCACAAAACTTAAGCTCCAATTACTTTCTCAATTTTAAGAATTTGTTGGTGCCGTTTGCGGCAAATCGGAGAGCTCGTTGTGATCTATGCATTGACAGGAGCAATTCACCATTTTGGCCAACCTAGGGATTTCGAGTTTGGGGGCTCAAATTGGGGGCTTTGCATTTTTGGAGGTAGGGGTTCCTAATGCACAAACTTTTTCCTCCTTAGTGAATTATCTTCTTTGTTTTGTTGTCAAGCGTGCATAATTATGTTGATTTTCCTTTAAATAAGTAAATTGTTGTAAATGGAATATGTGATTATGTGTTTTAATTGATATTATTTGAAATAGCATGCTTGTATGAGTTCAATTTCATGTTATATATATGCTTACTATGCTAGATTTTATTAAATGAAAGCATGTTGTATTTCATGGAAATTCTTGTAAAGCTTGATAGTGATTTAATTTGAATTAGTTGCAAAATGATATATTTTGGAATGAAGCATCCATGCACCTCATTTGGAAGAAATGGGAAATGATGTTTTGAATGAAATGAAATGGGGTTTTTAGGAAAAGTTTTGAAAAAGGTTTATGAAAAACCCGACCGCCTAGCAGTTGCCTAGGGACCGCGGCGTTAGTGAGGCCTAGAGGGGACTAGGGAGATTGCCCTAGCGTGGTGGAGTTATCTAGGCCCCAAATGACACCATGGAGTCGCCATGGGTCACGGACAGTTAGCCAATCCTCCTCTCGTGCCGCCATGGAGTTGCCATGGGACGGGTTTCATTAATGGTTTTAGAAATGATGATGGAAATGGTTTTGGAAATATGGAAAATGACATTGCATGGCATGGCATCTCATTGCATGGCATATTCATTTGTGGTATGTGATTAATGATGTGGTATTGTGGTTATATTTTTCCCCGGCATAGCATAATCCAGTTAACTTATTACCTATTCATCATGTGGATTCACGGGGTCTCAAGAGGTGTGCCTTAGGCACCTCCTACTGAACAATTTGGTCACCCCTTTATTAACAACCATTTTCAGGTCACAGGAAGAAGGTGGTGGATGACATTCTTCCACAAGCATGAGGGGGACTTGAAGTGTGTTTTGCAACTTTTTTGTAGTCATGAGTCATTCTTTTGTAAAGCACCATCTTCAAATGTAATAAACTTGCGTAGCATGGCCTTGTAATATAACTATAGACCTTGATGCCATTTTGATGTAAATTGAGCCAAGTGTAATGACCATGTATTATTTCTTAATTGTATGGGAAGAATGATGATGAATGTATGATGTGAACAAAGTTTCTTTACGTCGCCATGTTGTAGAACTCCTTGAATTAGCTTATCAAATTGTTATGTTTCCCATTCATGTATGTTGGGTTGAGAGGATTGAATTTACAGCTTAGAAATGTATTTGGGATAGTAGATTTCAGGCATCCCAAGTGAAGAGCCGGCTCTTCCACTTTGGGAGTCGACTCTTTTTGGTCCAATGGCTAAAATTCGTCAAAATCTTGGAGTTGAGCCTGCTCCTTTGGGAGTGGAGCCGGCTCCTTTCGCAGAAAGGAGCTGGCTCCATCCAAAATGGGAGCCGGCTCCCTTGTTGTTTGTTCCTTCTTTTTAATTCAGACTTTGAACAGCTATAACTTTTTTGTTTCAAATCCAAATGGGTTCATTCTTGAGTCAAATTTCAATTATTTTCAGTCAAATTTCCAATGAAATTAATTTCATTCAAAAATTCAAATCATAAAAAGAGTTATAACCTTTTTAGTGTGAACTAGTTTGTAATTTTTTGAAAACGAAGGGCGCAATTGTGTAAAATCCTCATTCTTATGTCCGGGACTTTGTGTCATAGGTTCAAATTGACCCTTATGACTTATGTTGACCTATTTAGACTCATTTAGAGTTATATAATTTAATTTACACACCCTAGTTAACCTTTTTCCCTCGGTTATTTTCGGGTCCGAGTAAGGACCCGGTTAGCGATTCGTACCCACGGGTTCGAGTCGTTACAAACTTGGTGTCAGAGCAATGGTTCAAATACCATTAGGACGATGGGTAGAGTCCTACCTAGGATTGCATGGGAAAGTATGATTGTATGATTATTTACTTATGCGTTAGGGTGCTTAATTATTCGAAAGGCATGCTTACTTGCTTATCTATTTAGTTACTTATATGATCACATTCTTATGTGTTTAAAATCATGTATATTATTACTATGACGATGATTGAAAGCATGTTGATTTGGATAGAATGATAAGTATAAAGTGTATGATGGTGGCAAGCAGTAGGCACGATTTATGCAATTTTCTTTTATGATAATGTGAGAAGTAATGATGATGATATATACAAGCATGTTTTGTATAGTATTGTAGGATTCATTCATCCCGTATACGTATATATATCAATATTCTTATGTGTTTATGCGGTTGAGCATTGGGATGGTTGCTAGTACGGTAAAATACTTGTCACAGCATTGAGGGTTGTGTTAGTTTTGACCTGAGTAGGTGAAGAGCTCGGTTGCTCTAGGGTTGTTGGGTGTCAATTCTTATCGAACTAATGGCGTGGTCTTTTAGCTCATGGATTGAGCTATTTGGTGTGTAGTCCTTTTGATCTTCTTGTCACGTTTTGTGCGGTGCTTAGAGCATGACCTTAGAACGGGTTTGTATTTCATGGCATGGTGTCCTTATTGTGTGTGAGTTTCATACATCGGTGGATTAGTTCCTATGACTGTGGAGGTCAGGTGTGCGAGTGAGGGTTTCGAGGGAGAAAGGTATGACCTTAGGAGGTTAGTGTTTGTGACTTAGGTTATGGTTTAGTGCAGAGGTTCTTTTCGAAACGGTAGTGGTAGGTGCGACAGAGGTTGTTTGAGTCACAAATGTAGTCTTTGGGTGTAGGTGTGTATTGTGGGTGTTCTGGTGTGGTTTAAGGACGCGTGTTGATTAAGGCTGATTAAGAGGTGATTCCCATTCTGGGAAACTGCAGGAATGTGTCACGAGTAATTGACTCTCGGTGAGTTGATTGCATGGCTCGGTTGATGAGCGGGTTTTTGAGTTGGCACGGTTATTGAGAGAGTCTTAAGGTGGTGTATAGTGGGCAATTAGAGCTATGTAGTGCAGGATTGCATGATAAGGTAGATAGTATGTGGTCAATGGTATGCTTAGTCGTTTACGGATGGAGGGGTAGACGATAGGTATTGTGTACTGAATGGGTTGTGTTTTGGAAATTAGAAGTTGTGGGCTGGAGTTGTATTCTGGGTATGTTTAGAGTATTAGCTGAGTATGCTGGGTGTTGGAGGATTCAAGTGATAGACTGTTGATTTGAAATGATTGATTGCATCATTGATGGTTTTGAGGTGATAGTTGAGTGTTGAGCATTCTAGTCTTTGTGCTCATTTTTCCTTCTGGGAATTGTTGGCATGATATTGCTGTTTAGAGATTCTTTTCTAGTGGCAAGTAGTGGT